TTTATCGTTTTTAAAATTTAAATTTATAATTTTAAATTTTAAATTTTAAATTTTTAACAATTTAAAACATCCTTTTATAAACATCGATTGCACGTAATAATTCTCCTTAATTTAATATTTTAGCAATCACACACTAAGCTATCTTTGACTTACTACAAAATTGGGTTACTTGTATGATATATTTGGTCCAAGAGAATTGAGGGAAGAGGAGCAGAATGGAAAACAATTTTTGTATTTAGTTATCAGATGAATTAAAAAATTTATTTTTTTAATTTATTTATTTATCTAAATAAAAAAAATTAAGAGATGCAATTTCTTCCATCTTCCTCCGACTAAACATACAAGTAGAGATCCAAACACGCATTTTATTTTAGACAAAATAGAGTTCGAACACAATGTGTGGTGCAGAAGTAATTGATTAAGGACGAGCAACGTGTTTGCTGGTGTGGTTATGGCAAACTGTAATTTTGTTGGGGATCACATAATTTTTTTGTTATTTTATATATTTATAATTTTTTAAAATAATTAATTATAATATTTAAAATCATTTATTTATAAATTAATTCTTATTTTTTAAAAAATAAATATAAATTATTTTATTAATTATTAATTGTTAATTATTTTTAAGAATTAAATTAAAATAAAAATTTAACAACAAGCGCGAAAACAATAACCGTATTTATCGGGAACAAAGTTACGAGAACGTTTAAATCAAACAGAAAAGAGGTACTGATGCTGACAAATTATCACCATCTAGTATATTTCTTTGACCGGATCAACCATACTAGTCCTTAATTATTTGGAGATGACTTTTCAGTATGGTAGTGGTGCACGATGGTTTGGAAATAGAGCAACGCTACAGGGACCGATCGGGCTTCAAGCCTGTAATTGCACCAAACCGAAAGTCCTTCTTCAGTCCGCGCTTGCACTTCGGGATGACCTGCAAAGCCCCGAGGTGGAACTCGAGGTAGACACTCCGATGCTTAAGTCAGCAATAATCGGGGCTACCTTTAAGGCGGAGATAAAAAGAGCTTAGGGTTGGTTTCAATTACCTTTTGACGTGGCTCGGAGGGGATATTTATAGGATCCAATGAGGAACCCACGTGGCATGCCAAGCAAGATAGTCGGAGCCTGACGTGTCTATCCAGACGATTATTCCGGGACCGAGAATTTGAGAGGTATTCAGATGCACAGGTGTCCACCGTTCCTGCTGTGCCGCTCATCATAAGGAATCAGGTGTGGACATGCTTATTGTCGTTATCATGCAACTATTTGAGCGGGAAGCTTCAGATTCATTCCTCACTTCGGTCATAAAGGAATTACTGTAGCAGTCCGAGGTTTGGCACCTCGGCCCTGTCCTTACACTATTCCCCCCCCGAAGTCATTCACTTGTGAATGATGTTGCTGGGGAGTGTATGAACAAAGAGAACAAAGAGTGTATTTTAAATTTAAACATAGCCGTAGCTAATAATGAGAGATGTAACAGTGGGTCATAGTGAGGTGCCGTAAATAAAGTATAATCAGAGCAATCATGACCGGAGTGAGAAATTGTAAAGATGATGACCGGAGTCATAACGTAGTCAAGGTCATGATAAAAAATGATGACTGGAGCTATAAAAGCCAAGGCCGTGATGGAAAATGATGACCGGAGTCATAAAGGCCAGAGCTACAATAATAAAATATGATGACCGGAGTTATAAGGGCCGGAGCCGTAATAAAATATGATGACCGGAGTCATAAGGGCCGGAGCCGTAATAAAATATGATGACCGGAGTCATAAGGGCCGGAGCC